TGCAGCCTTGCTAGTACTTGGGAGTTGTCAGCGATGTGAATTAAGCTGTCATTCTCCCGGGTTTATGATTTCACAGGCGCAGCCCGAAAGCAGCGCTAGCGCGGCCGGCTGCTGCCCCTTCCTGGTGACAGGAGAGGGTGACGCCGACATGTACCCTCCTTCCTTGCTGCATCAGAGGTGGCCCATCCCAGGACTCTGTATTTACAGAAGCAAGGATGCCTGAGGGATGAGGTCAGGCGGTTTTTGAGTCACGCTGAAACAATCTGACTGAACGGTTATCAAGGGTGCAGGCTAATCCTGGCTCAGATGTATTGGCTGGGATTTACCAGGCCCCAGAGGTGGTTCCTGTGTGAGCTGATGCAGGCACGACGCAGGAACATCCACAAAACCATGGATTAAGGGCAAAGAACAAATTTAATCTCAATACTTTATGGGTCAGGGAACCTCTGAAGCAGCACCCGGGCAGAGGCAGGGAAGCAGGGGTGCAGGTATTGCAGAGTGAGTCCTTATTACAAGAGAGTCCTTGTTAGCGAGGGAGTGAGGGAGCTCCCACTGGCTGTTTGGGCCTGTATTTCAAGGATTCAGGCAGGCAGAGTTTTCTGCCGTGCTTCGATCTCTTCAACAGCAGGGCAGGAATCTTGGGTGTGTTTGATAATCATAGAATCATAGAATGGTTTGGGTTGGAAGGGACCTCAAAGATCATCGAGTTCCAACCTCCCTGCCCTGGGCAGGGACACCTCCCACCAGACCAGGTTGCTCAAAGCCCCATCCAGCCTTGTCTTGGACGCTTCCAGGGATGGGGCAGCCACAGCCTCTCTGGGCAACCTGGGCCAGTGTCTCACCACCCTGAGTCCAAGATGCCCCTGAGTCCATCCCAGGCCTGTTATCCAAGTGCAGATGTTCTACTTGTTGAGCATGCAAAACTAATTAACACTTAGTGTGATAAATGTGTTTTCCAGCACCCCACACGCGAGCCGCTTGAACGTGTTTACAGTCCCCCTCACCAATCTTCTTCCCACAGTTCCTGACCCTATAGAACAAACTCAGGGAGGAGCTGGGGTGCCATACCCTGCCCTTCCCCACAGGCAGATGTCATACGCACAGCAGGGAAAGGCCACCTCAGCCCAGGCCACCTCCTCCGGAGAGCCAGTGGGGGGTGACACAACAGGCTCCCGTGTACAGTCCCTGACAAGCTGAAAAGCAGCCCTCTGTGAAGGAGGGAGTGCGTGTTGGTGGGGCACTGGTGCTGGGCCCCACGCCTTCTGTGGCACAGGCGTTAGCTGAGGGTGCATTTGGGGGAAAAAAGGCATAAAACGGGCAGGATTGGGGCAGGAATGAGGCCAGGCGGCAGTCAGAGGATAGAGGCGGCAGGACTGGGGCAGGAATGAGGCCATGCGGCAGTCAGAGGCCCGTTCCATGCCAGGCTCCCACAGCCTTAGTGCGATTGCGCCTCCAGCAGGCCCGGGCTCGCCCGTGCCTGCGGGGGAAGGCTGCGGAGGTAGGCCCTGCCCTGCCTTCCGGGGCCCAGCTACGGGCCCAGCACCGCCCGCCGCCGGGATGGGCCTTGTCCCGCTTTCCAGGGCCCCAGGGGTCGTTCCGGCCGAAGCCCCAGGCCCAGGCCCAGGCCCAGGCCCAGGCCCCTCATAGCACCGCGCAGAGGGCAGGATTGGGGCAGGAATGAGGCCAGGCGGCAGTCAGAGGATAGAGGCGGCAGGACTGGGGCAGGAATGAGGCCATGCGGCAGTCAGAGGCCCGTTCCATGCCAGGCTCCCACAGCCTTAGTGCGATTGCGCCTCCAGCAGGCCCGGGCTCGCCCGTGCCTGCGGGGGAAGGCTGCGGAGGTAGGCCCTGCCCTGCCTTCCGGGGCCCAGCTACGGGCCCAGCACCGCCCGCCGCCGGGATGGGCCTTGTCCCGCTTTCCAGGGCCCCAGGGGTCGTTCCGGCCGAAGCCCCAGGCCCAGGCCCAGGCCCAGGCCCAGGCCCCGGCCCCGGCCCCTCATAGCACCGCGCAGGCCCCGGTGCGCCCCGGTGCCCCCCTCCCCGCACTGCGCACGCGCCGGGGCAGTCCCAGCAGCGCATGCGGCGCCCCCTCGCGCACCGCGCACGCGCGCCATCCACCCTGACGCAAGGCCGCTGCAATCGCCGGGGACACCCAGGGGATCAGCGGCCCTGAAGGGATGGGGGACACCCAGGGGATCAGCGGCCCTGAAGGGATGGGGGACACCCAGGGGATCAGCGGCCCTGAAGGGATGGGGGACACCCAGGGGATCAGCGGCCCTGAAGGGATGGGGGACACCCAGGGGATCAGCGGCCCTGAAGGGATGGGGGACACCCAGGGGATCAGCGGCCCTGAAGGGATGGGGGACACCCAGGGGATCAGCGGCCCTGAAGGGATGGGGGACACCCAGGGGATCAGCGGCCCTGAAGGGATGGGGGACACCCAGGGGATCAGCGGCCTTGAGGGGATGGGGGGACACCCGGGGGTCCGGCGGCCCAGAGAGGTGGAGGGAGCCCGGGGTTCGGCGGCCTTAAGGGATTGGGAGGACACCTGGGGTTCGGCGACCCTGAGGGGATGGGGGGAGATCTGGGGGGTCGGCGGCCCTGAGGGGATGGAGGAAGAGCCGGGGGTTCGGCGGCCCTCAGAGGACGGGGGGAGCCCCGAAGGGTCGGCGGCCCTCAGAGGACGGAGAAAGCCCGGGTGGAGAGTGGAGGGGCTACAGGGAAGGGCTGCGGTGGGGACGGGCCCGTAGCGCTGGGCTGCCTCAAGCAGTGAGATTTTGGGAAGGAAGCCGTTAACGGTGGTGCAGCCGCCGGTGGGTGAGGAGGGGGGAGCAAGGGTACCGGCTTGGGCCTGCTTTCGGGGAGGTTTAGGGTCAGGCTGCTCAGTTCCTCGCCCTACATGTGGATATGACAGCTCCTGGAGGGCAGCGAGGCTGAGCGTATTCAGGAGTTGGCAAAATATTTATGTCTCAGTCCGTTTTATGTTAGGAAGTTTTGTTAAGAATGCACTCTCAAAACAGAAAACGGGATAAAGCTTTCAGAGTTCTCCAAAATACTGATTTACACGTGCGAATTTATGGCCACTGCAAAAAAAAAAAAAAAAAA